GAGCCCTCCAGCGTCGCGAGAAAGCATCGACACTTGACCTCGTCCGGGGCAGCCGCCGCTTCCATAGAAGCATAGAACTTAGACAAATGATCTTGGGGGTCCGTCGTTCCGTTGTAGGCCTTGATCTGCCACGGCCGGAAGTTTGCCGGCAGCGGGACCGACATAACCCTCGGAGTGAACGGGGTTACCGTCCGCAAGATGGGCTGGCTGTAGGGAGCCCTGGTCTCCACTCGGCGCTTAAGCTCGGCAACCTCACGTGCGAGCCGAGACACTCCTTGGTCAGAGACCTTTGTCTTCTCAGTTCTCGTCGGGCTATGGCGACGCTGGGTGCGCTCCTCCCGCCTCTCTCCGCTCCGCTCGGACCTCGCCGAGCGAGCATCCGATGTTGCGGACTCCTCAGCATGCCTCCGCCTGCCTTCGGCTATTTGTCGGCGGAGGTCGCCCGGGCGAACTTCCGGTCCGCGGTCGAGCCTGTCGAAGGCCGACACCCGGGTCTCTTCCCCTCCTAAGCGCCTGAAGGCTGACACTCGGCACTCGCTGGACTCATCGTCCTCCTCATCCGGGACGTCCTCCACAATCACCTCCTCGATTGCCGGGGCCTTGCCGGGCCTCCTCTTACTCCTCCGGGTCTTCTTCCCCTTGTGTTGGGAAGTGGCAGCGTGTTCGGCATTGAGATTGGGCGGAGCTTTGCCAACTCCGGCGCCGGGCACGTTCCCACCCACGGCGGAAAGTGCCGCAACGGCTGCCTGGAGCTGCTCCGCGGTCACCCTCAAGCCGAACAGCGCCTGGACCGCGTCCGGAGTCGAGCCTATGCCGCCCGTGCCGTTGCCGCTTCCCGGCGCCATCTCCTCGCAAACTACCTGGCTGGTGGTGGGGACGTTGCTCCTTGTTTGCACCATTCTCGCTTCCGGGAGTCCACCTACGAGTATGTTTCTCTCCTCTCAACGAGAGCACCAATTTGATGGTTATAAACCACCGAGAATGAAGAACAGTATAAGTTTTAGAGAGAGAGAGAATGCAAAGTAGGAGTTTATTCGTTCTAAACTTGGATCCATTACAATGAGGGGTCTCTCCCCTTTTATAGGGGATACAATACACATAGTCAAAGTTTCTCTGATCGAGGTTCGTCGCCTAGCGGACGTCATCTCTGTTATGCGTTGTCTCTTTCATCCCATCGCTGTCGCGCAGTCAACGTGGCCAGTCGCTATCACGGTCTCCAGCCGAGCTCACGGGCCGAGCCGAGCTCATGGGCCGAGCAGAGAAAATCTTCCACGTGGCTGATGGGGCCCGGCTGACGTGTCTTTTGGAGTCGTCCTCCATCATTATTATTATTATTATTGTTATAAAGAAAGAAATGGGTCAAAGTGGTGGGGGCTACCACTTACTTTGGGGCTGCCACTTTGTAGAAAAGGCAAAAGCCTTTTGTGGCTGGTCACGACTCACGAGCAGAAGAAAAAACAGCAGAAAAACAGAGAAGAAAAAAGAGTAAAACCGAGAGAAGGAAGAAGAGAGAAAAAGAGAGGTGCAGCCTGGTTTTGTGCTCCGATCGACGACTAAACGAGCTCCGATCGGGATGAAATTTTAGTATGTTGTTCCTGAGATCCTCTTCTTCATATCCGACGGTGGGATTGTTGTTTTGACCTCTCGATGTCGGTAAAATTGCCTCTGTTTACTGCTGCGTTTTTATTGGGAATTTCTCACTCTTTAGTGAAGATTATTGTTGTTTGGTGTTCCAAGTTATTACTTGATGATTGTGTGTACCTCTAATTGATTTAGAGAAGATTCTTGGTGTACCCACTGATTTTCTTGGTGATTAGTGGAAGGCTTCGTGGTTTTCTCTCCGATTTGGGGTTTCCACGTTAAATCTTGGTGTTCGTTTATCGCTTGATTGATTGCTTGTCGTTGTTTTTGCTATTCTTGATTGGTCATATGATTTTGCCCATTTTGACAACACAAAGACGGGAAAATTATTTATTGCTTCCGCTAGAAAATTGAGGTGATTTTCCCAACACATAATTATGGAAGGGAGTAAATTATGCCCATATAATTCTTCCCTGATCTTCGAACCCAATAAATATTAAACTTACAAATATAGTGCCCCATCGTTGAGTATTTGTCTTTATGTCTAGATTTAGTTATTTTTCCTCAAATTTGGTAAATTTTAACCTCAAATTAAATAAAATTGAAAATCTTATTATATACAAAAATAGTTTAGTAGACATAATATATCAAAATTGTCAAAATATGTGTTTATCTTTTTTTAAAAACAAAAAATATTTTTTTATCTAATTAATACACAATATTTTTTTATAATAATTAAAATTTAATACTCCTTCCGTCCACAAATAAACTTCTCGTTTACTATTCACAGGGTCAAACTTTATTCACTTTGTTGCCCTTTTTTGTCACCCATTTGATAAAATAATATAGTCATGTCACATCTAGTTTTGTAGATCTTTTGATATAGTTTTTTAATATGTAATTTTTATTTTTAAATTTACACTATTTTTCATATAAAATGATTTGAAAATAATTTCAGTCAATCATCGTAATGCACAACAGAAAGTTTATTTGTGAACGGAGGGAGTATATAATATACTCCCTCCGTCCCAAAAAGATTTACACGTTTCAAAAAAATTGTGTCCCACAATCTCTTACCCATTTCTATTAAAAAACCACTTTTACCTCTTACTTTTTCAAACCCTACCTATCACATCATATATGTTTCCTAATAATCTTTACATCATATCCTACTTTTACCCATCACATCAAGGGTATTTTTGGAAAGTCAACACAAAATTATCCCTTCCTTAATTTCAATTTTAGTCAAAATGGATAACACTTTATGAGACGGAGGGAGTATAAAATACATTAAATATAAGATAGCCCAACAATTATTTTAAATGGCCCAATAGCATTTTGATATAGAAAGCCTTATATCTAACCCTTATACCCCATTCCGTCCTTAACTCTCTTCCGCCGCTCTCCCCACCATCTCTCAACCTCTCATCTCCGTTCATCTCCGTGTCGCTACTCTACTACCATTTTCGGATCTATCTCTAACATATCTCCCACCAACCGATTATTTTTGGCGATGCATACATGTATGGTTTCATTTCCAACTTTGTTTTGTTTAACATCGAATTTTTGCACGGTTTTGGGCACAGTTTTGAGGACCGAGCCGAGCTCGCCTCTACCGAGTTGAGGGCACGACCGAGCTCCGCCTACTTAGATGTGGGCCCTGCCCTAGACCTGAAACCAAGCTGACGTGGGGATATTCTCCGTCAATATCCATGTACAATGCCACAATTACTACATTGCAAACTCCAATTTAGGAAATAAAAATATGAAAGTGATTTTTTAAGTCAAAAATAGAGTTTTTTATGGGACGAATGGAGGATATGTTTTATTTATTAAAATGTGTTAAAATACTAAAATCAATGGTGTATGTTGCACATTAAAAATTAATAATATCTATACATTCCTACCATTGACACTTTAAACTAAATTAATAAAAATAATTTTTAAAAATAAAAAATTACTCATTCTGTCCGGTTCCAAGTCGGTCCATACTTTATTCAATCCGGTCCTCAGTCCTCAAATTATTGTTATTCGAGTTTCATTCCGGTCTGATCTCTACCGGTCACCCCTTCCCCACACTCATCAGTTACCGGATCCTCTAAATTTTGAAGCGGGCCAGCTCACACATAAAAAGCACTCCTTAATAAGAGTGTGATTCATTGTGTGTGCACTTAAATAACAACAACAACATAATTGATAATAACAATAATAATAATAATAATAAGAGGAATTTACTTAAATAGCACTTAAATATAATGACTTTCTCTAAATAGCACCACATGTGTTTTTCTTCCCAATGTAGCATTTTTAGTCATTATGCATTAGTCATTATTCAAGTAAATATTTGTTATCACTGGTCATTATGGACATTATTAAGTGCTATTTAAGGAATAAAATAATTTAAGTGCTATTTAAGGAATAAAATAATTTAAGTGCTATTTAGGGAAATGACTTAAGTTTTAGTGCTATTTAGTGCAAATATTTCTAATAATAATAACAATAATGATAATAATAATTGTATTAAATTAATTAGAGAAACCGCCCCAACGACCCTCCTAGCTAGTTTGTGTCATAGCGCGCTCATTCACAATAAATGACTGCGATCAAAATCACTGGGATGTTGGAATCCATAGATGACCTTGAACGAAGCTCTGGAGAGAGTAGGCGGCGACATTCTCCGGCGGAATCTGGCTGCTCCAACTCACCCGTTCAGCCGTGGCAGCTCCGGCACCGGTGTTCTTAAACTCCCCGTAATAAAGGGTCTTCAACGCGAAGTCGCCGTCCCACTCCATCCACCCCGCCGGAGAAATGAGACCCTCCAGCGTACATTGTATAAACACCGTCCTCGAGTACTCCTTCCATGGCCTCCCTAGATACGTCTGGTTGAACGAATCCGGACTCTTCCGGAACAATTCCATGTACTCCCGGGTCCCGTTGATGACGCACTTTTGGAAGACGAATCCGGTGGACTGGCCGGGGTAGATCCGCCCTTGGGCCGTCACGGCGTTTTTCGCCGCCTTCTCCGGAGTGTCTTGCCGGGGGGACACGAAGATCCGGCAGTCGTGGAATGCGGCGGCGGAGTTCCCGAAGATGAAGTCGACGTTGCCTTGGATGCGGCAGGACTTGTAGTACTGGCGGAGGGAGTGGGCGTAGAGAGTGTCTTGGTTCCCCACGAACTCGCAGCTTTCTACAATGGAAAGATCGCTGTCTGATCGGAAGGCCACTGCTTGGTGACCTCCGGCCGCCGCCGTGTTTCGGATCGTCAGATCCCTCGCCATGAATCTATCCCCCGCCACAGCTGATTCATTACAACAAAATACATCAATATTTCATCAGATCAAATAGTGGCCTTTTTTTAAGATAAATTAAGCATAATTTATATGAATAAATTTCATAAAAAAATATTATATATCAAAACAATAATTATAAAACAGAACATCTATCTTTTTATTCCCGAAATAGGACTTAAATTACCAAACATGGTCATGTACATTACCAAACAAGTATAGTAATATGCACATGTACAGTGTCACATTACCACAGTGCGAAATCCTATTTTGAGAAAAAAAATATGAAAGCCCTATTTTGGTACTTTTCTCTATGTTTTAGTCCTATTTATGGTGATTTCTAATTATTTAAATAGAAATACATTTGTCTTATTAATATACAACTTAATACTTCATATTCTTTTTATAAATTTAAAAATATGAAATAACAAACTCAAATGTACAAGTTAATATTCATAAAAATACATTTATGTTGCATACATACGGAGTACTTTATAAAAAACAACAGAGTGTATTAATCGAGTAAATTAGATTAAAAAAGTACGTCGTAATATTTACGGAGTATGTTTTTTTGTCTTTGTAAAAAACTAAAGATTGATTTTTTAAAAATCATACTTCATCCGTCCCACAAAAAAGTTCCCATTTTGACCATAAATTGGTCAAAGTGTTGCACACTTTGACCCTAAATTAAATATAATCTAAATAAAGAAATGCTAAAAAATTGAGATATCAAAACTAGATCCCAAGATGAATCCAATTATATAAAATTTATTTCATAATTCAATATATCTTTCTCACAATTTGTAGTCAAAGTGTGTAAATATTTGACTAAATACTATTCAAAATGAGAACTTTTTTGTGGGACGGAAGGAATATAAAATTAAAAAAGACCGAATCGTTCTGGTTTAAACAGTAACGGTCTTCCTAAAAGACTAGTCGGATCAAATTTGAATAGCTGTTGTGGATTTATTCCAACCTGATTAGGTTCATCATGTCAACACATAATTTAGAGCAAGTCATTATATTTTAGTGCTATTTTAAATTTCTCAATATAATTTTGCAAGTTGACTTACCAATGGTGGCGGAGTGGTATGTGGTGTTGAAAGGAGGGAGACCCACACTCAAGTTTCCTGTAATGACAGTTTTGCCCATGCCTTCCCCTAAAAACACCACATTCGTTTTATTAAACGGCACCCGAACGATCTCCTCGTAAACTCCCGCCTTTATCTGAATCACAAACTTCCCCGCCGAGATGAAATCCGGCGCGGCGTTCACGGCGTCCTGAACTTTCTGGTAGTCGCAGCCGCTCTTTTGGAGGCACACCGTCACGTTCGGGATCAACCCACTGGGAACTCCTCCGCCGGTCGCCGACCCGGACCCGGATCTGCCGTCCTTCTCCCAGAAGCCGTCACGCTCTGTTTCCGGCAGCCGCCACGACCCGGTTTCATTCCCGATGCGGTCGTAGTTCACCAACATGCCCAGCGCGTCGCTGGTCAGTCCGAGGAGCGACCACGTGAACGCCATCGTGCTGTTCACCTTCCCGGTGTCGTTGACGTACTTGAGCGACGACCAGCAGTCGTACTGGTACACGACGACGGCGCTCATCCACGCCCGGGCGTCCTTGATCTCGCCGCCCCGGAGAGCTTTTCCGGCAGATCTCATCCGGTTCTCGGCGTACCCGTACAGCTCGAGGCACGTGTTGGCCGCGACCGACCGGTTCCGGTTGCCGGCGGACTCCTCCAGGATTCCACTCACCATGGATTTGGCCTTCGCAAGCCCGCCCGTGGAGACTCCCATGGCCGCCTCGATGATCTCCATCGCCGTCGGGTGCTGGGACGACAACTTACCGGAACTAGCCAGCGCGTGCTCGCACGCCGCCGGGTCAGCCGAGACTTTGCAGGCGTTTCGGGCGGATCGAGGTAAACCGGTGCTAGATTCCGACACCGGGTGGTCCCCGGAAGCGGAGGCGAGGGCGAAAAACAGGATGAGGGAGAGAAAGGGGAAAACGGAGGCCATTGAAATGGAGAAATATTTACAGGCACCGGTAATCGTTGCCAATTATATATAAGGGGGATCGGAGTATAATTTCTCCGGAGGGCTGTAAAGAGTTTTTGACTCAGCCAACATACATTGACCAGAAAATAAGGATTGATTGATGCATTAACGCGTATGAGAAGAACATGAAGAAGACGAAAGGAGTTGGGCGTGGACATTTGGGTGGAGACAGAAACGACTCTGCTCTCATAATGTGGGGAAAGTGGTGGTTGATTGATCTGTTAAAATGGTGGATTTATAAACGCGCCATATGACTAATCTAATTTTCTACATGCTAGCTAAGGAGTAATCCCTCTGTTTCCCTGTATTTGTCCACATTTGACTTTTGGAACTGTTCATCTAAGCACTTTGACTCATCAAATTCTCTCAATGTGTAAGCCTAAATATAGTCATGTGTGATCTTGTTTGATTTGTTTTAACATATAGATTATTAATATATAATTTTTATAATTTTTTAATATACAAATTACAAGATAAAATGGATTAAAGAAGTGCATTGGATGGTGTGCAAAAATAAAGTGGACAAATACAGGGAGACAGAGGGAGTATATTCACATCATACATGATGTCATATACAAAGAGGATCATGCACGGTGTATATCATTTTCTCAAAAAGAATGAGCCCTAATATCCGGTCGAACGGTCACTGAGAGAAGGTAAATTGGACTCTAATCTCCGAAGCCATATGCTTAGCAAAGAGTGAAGTCTGCACTCAGTATTTGTAAAAGCATTCTTCTTAGTATAATTGTCTCCCAGTACAGTTGCAAAGAATGAAACTCGAGTCTTACCCCTTGGCACTCCTTGTCTTACCAACTGTGCACCGCCCAACGCTCTCCATCACATCATCTATTATATATATAAAAGAAGAATCAAAATTGAGCAATTTCCAATCCAATTTTCGCTCATATCCTAGGGTCCAATTTCATTTGCAATCGGCAAATCTAGCCGTCAATTCCTAAAGCCACTGTTCAAACTCCATGGCGAAAGACATTTGCGGTTATGCGCCTCACCCTATTTGCGGTTTCGGTATGGGTTTGATCTTCTTCGCCTCACCCTGCATCTCTCTCATCTCTTAGATAAAACTCGACACACCCTATCTCAGCATAAGGCGTCTGTCAATGAAGATCTCAGCGGGAGGCGCATGCAATCTAGCGATGGCTAGAGCCACGCTGTCCTACTAGGGATTGTAATCGGGTGGATATTCAACGCTCTGCTCCAATTGCGGTTATTTCAGTCCCCATGTCTGATATAATTGGATTGATTTTCTCCTGTGTAAGGAACAATTTCGGAATATTAATTTCAATTTTAGATCCCTGAATGGATCAGACATGTTTGTCCTTGAAATCTCTCTCTCTCTGAATATTCTAAATGACTTTTCTTAAAAAATGTTGCATATTAATCTATTATCATTTTTAAATGTACATTATACTTCCTAACCAAGTTTAATATTAGACCATTCTTGATTTTCTAACAATCTGTTTCTTTCGTTATGTGTAGGTTCTTTGAGTTTATCTAGTGCAACCTCCAAGTCATAACAATTCTCGAGCAAAATTGAATGATTTATTGCCTGTGTTTATCCAATAAAATATGTGTTTGTCTAAGGTTAATTTTGGTTTCAAGCAATATTATTAATGAAAGTGACATGTTTCTAACCAAGTCTAAATCGAGACAACTCTTGACTTCTACGAATCTGATTTTTTCTCTATGTGCTGGTTCTCTCAAGTGTTAGCTACTTCAACCTCCAAGTGATAGGGAATGACAATTCGAGAGCAAATTGTATGAATCATTTGATATTTCCATGAGGTAAAATCTGTGTTTGGCTAAGGTTAACCTTAGTTTCAAGTAATACTATTATTCAAAGTGACATGTTTAATGCTTTTACTTTTAAGATTACAATCTCCTTGCAAAGAATCTTTAAGATTTATCATAAATTATGTTTAATGCTTTTACTTTTAAAATATAATTCTATATTAAAAATGTAACACAACTTCAAACTTTGGATCCCTACATAATATGATTTTGAAGTGTTCATGAATCATATTCCATCGAGGGGGTAAATTTAAGTCCTCTGAACTTAAATTTTCTATCTGATTATAGAAATTCAGGACACTAAAAATTCTTTAAGAGCTTGAAATGGGTAGATAAGAAAAAGGGAAATAAACATGAAAAGATTTAGGTGATGAAAAGATATTGTTGGCTGGGAAAGAGGACAGCCACTTAAACTACCAAAGAATTATGATGATAAACATTAAAATTAATACTAAGGCTGCACAAGATTAGGGAGTTTAAGGTGAAAATGTCCAAATATGAGACTGACCTTGATTATGATGGTGATGGCTTCCTTGAGTAACTTGATTATGATGGTGAGGTAAACCGGATGAAATTACTTCAAGACATTTTCTATCTATGTTGCAAATTTTGCTTTAGTACTCCGTATCCATATTTAACATGAATCAAAATTGATGAGCTCAAATCTACTTTTGCCTCCGAAATTGAAAAAAAAATAGGATAATGAGTAATCGAAGAATGGGATCTTCATTCAAAAAAAACTTTTTGGAAAATTATATTTTTACTTTTGCAATTCAATGTTGCCGAGGGATTGAGAATTGAAATAGGTCTGAGGTTAATTAAGGATTCTGAAGTTGCTTACCAGGTTCAACTCTATAATTTCGTGCACAGTCCTGAAGCTCTTGAGTGGCTATATTATGAAATTCACCGACTAAGGAAATTGAGTAACAAAAATATTATGAAGTTCTGTATATCATGGGTTCATATAGGAAATAAGAACATCATTCCGTGAATCATTGTGCTGGTATTCTTCAATTAACTTTTTAAATGCATTACAAAATTTACTACTTTGGTCAAAGAGAAAGCTATGTGTGGTTGATTATAATATTTTGATGTTAACCTCACACCAAAACTAAGTTCCATTAAATAAGGACATAAGGAAAAGGATATTATTTTAAATGATCTTAATTATTCATTGGTATGTGTGGAACTCAAAACTGTGGATTTTAATTAGGACCAGAGGGAGTATTTTCCTTTCAATGAGTACTGTATTTTCCTTTGGATGTTTACTTTAGTGCATGAATGCTATTTTCTTTTTCATAGGACAAAATATCTAGAGAGCAAAAATTAGAATGAGAGTATAATGCCACTGTATATTGCTCTGTAATAGGCAGCAGGTTATGCATTGCTTGCTAACAACATGTTGGTTCTTGGATGGTTCCTGTATTATACTTACTATTGTGTGTTGAATTTATTTGAATTTTTTCATGTTCAGTATTCCTTTGTTCCTAGCTATTGCCTCCCCGCCGTCTCTCTCCGCCGCCAAGGGCGTGCTTGAGTTTTTGGTGAAGAGCGTCCCTGGATCGATTGCAAAGCTTCTTTGTAAACTCCAGAAGGTTGATGTTGTGGAGCTGAGTTCGGCTATGGGGAAAGGTTTCGAGATTGATCTGATTCCTCTGCCCTAGAAGTATCAATCCGTCCTCAATTTCTATTGAGTAAGAAATTAGATTGCTTGGTTGAGAGAATTTATTTTCAGAATATCCATGCTGATATCTTAATATTTTACCAGTATTATTTTATAATTTAGCCATTCGTACTATAATACTGAAATGTAGTTATTTGGTAGTTGCTTTGATATGTCAATAACGGTTGATCCTGGTTATGTAACATCTTTGATACGCAAACTCCTATGAATAGACGACAAAGATGGAGATATATTTAGAGAACAAAAAACTGAAGAAATGAAGACCGTTTCAGTTTCTGCTTCTTAAAATTGTGAAGGGATGTCTACAGGTGATGAAAACAAATTGATGGACGTTGCTAATGATGTTGATGAAGTAGAGAAACTTCAAAGGTTAAATGTTGTCTGCAGTGAAAACACATAGAAGGGGTTGGCAGCGGGAGAAGAGTCCTGGGAAGAGTGTGGTTGTATTTTATGGGATCTTGCAACAAGTAATCCTCATGTTGAATTCATGGTGCTTGATTTTTCATCTTCTTTTTTTTCATTTTATGTTTCTTAACACTATGTTCTTTCTTGGTTGGATTTTTTTGGGAGTAGTTGGTTAACCCTGTTCTCATGGTAAAGTATCGAGATAATCAAGTTTGTAGTTAATTCAGTGCAAGCTTCATTTTTTATTGGCTACAGTGACACTGTGAACATAGAATCAAATATATCCTACGTCTTCTTAAATTATATGGAGTCTTTGGCATTTGATATACCAAAGCTGAGGGCCAAAGTTTTTACATTTCATTCAATTTAAAATTGTTTTTTATTTTCAATTCTATATTATCATAGGAGTTATTATCTGTAGTAAAAACTATTTTCCAAAACAAAGCTATTCTGAAATCTAAATACTGTGATGTTCTTACTATGAATGTACATGACTATACGCTTTTAACTGAATTTCTTTCTCTTATGTCTTAAATGTGAATTCAAATACTAAGAAATGTAAGAATTTCATGATTAAGCTTGAGGAAGCTTTGATGAACCTTCCCCAAACTAATATGAATGAGATACACCCAGCTGAATAGTCATTCTTCACAAAATCAACAAACCACGGATACTGTCTTTTGATATCTATTGTCCTAAGGTAAATGCAATAATGATACATGATGCAATGCTTCATACTTATTGAGAAATTGAAGAATTCTCAAAAAAAAAATTCTGTACTGTGAGCATTGTTCTTTAAATTTATAATACTCCGTAAAAGACTACGTATCTATTTACATCTGTAAACATTATCTATTGAACGATATCATACATTGTTTATACCTAAATTTATATTTTAAGATAGTACTCAATTTAAAATTTGAGAAAAGTAATTCAATGATTATATAATTAAATTATAGAGGTTTGGAAATAGTGGAATATAATTCTTTAAGAAAACAATGATTATATAATGATGGAATTTAACTCCACCGAATATATTTATCTTACAAATTTTCTCAAGATTTTCATAGAAAATAAATATGATACACGAATATTGAACTAAAAATTGGAATGAAAGAACTTGCATGAATCGATCTCATTGGGGGCGGGGCGAGGGGGGGTATTTGTAGCTGTCTAATCTTTCTAACCCTATTAGAGCATCTCCAACCACACATACTAAACATGACTTGCTAAAGTTATTTTTTAGCATGTGAATAGTGGTATAGCAAGCCATTTTACATTGTCATCTCTAACCTTCCCTTGCTGTAATTTAGCTAACAATTATATTATATTTTTTCACTATTATAATACACTCCTTATAAGAATTATTTAATTATTATTTATATTATAAAAATTAAGTAATAATTATATAATTTAAAAATAATAATTTCAAAAAACAATACGGAGTAATATTTTACTTTAGGGAAAATAATAATATATACAGAGCATTTTTTTAAATATTTAATAAATACCAATTAAAGAGTAGAGAAAAGAACTTTACAAAAAGTAAAAAAATTAGAGAGTTGAAGTAACTAAATATTTTGAGGAGAATGAGAGAAAATAAGAGAGAAATCAAATATTTAATCAATATCATGGTTTGCTATATTTTGAAAGGCTTGTTTTATATAACAAGCCAAAGTTAAAATTTACCAAGTGTGTTATAATATAGCAAGCCCCTTGGAGCACAAAAATTGAAATGGATTGCCAAATAATGATATTTAACAAGTCAAAACTTAATGGTTGGAGATGCTCTTACACTTCTCTTAGGAAACGTAGTTAAACTTCACCCGAAGCAATAAACTCTAGATCACACGCCTCCAGCACATCAGGCCCGCCTCACAGTCCGAGCGGGTTTAACATGCTAATTACACCTTCGGATCTGGGCTCTAATCACCAAGTCGGATGCCTCGGATAAATATATTTGGCTAGTTTCATTAATAGTCCCACCTCAATCCAATATACCCACCACATGCCCCTTAGTTTCTTGTGTGAGCATGCCTATCAAAAAATTACAATCCATTAATTAAAATTAATCACAACGCCATCAAGTCCCTTGGATCACGAAACAGTAGCCAACCTCAAGCACTTCACCCGAAGTCATCTTGTCCCCTCATCATCATCCTCCAAGACCATCATTTTACTCTTCGACACCTTGCTCCTCAAAACCTTGCGAACAGTCACGTACTACTATCTCCATCATCTCATCTTTCACCCATCCCCTATTTAAAGCCACTCAAGTCATCATCTTCTTCTTTATACCCTCTGAACTCTTTGATGCATCTATGCAAAAATCCTTTCTTCGGTCCTTCTCCTTCTTTGTTGATCTAACCCACCACCAACTTCGAATTGCAAAAGTTCAAAATTCTCCAGGCTCTGATCTTGGGGGTGATCCTTAGATCGCATGGCATTGCACGAAAAAAAGGTCTTATTCCTAAGGGAGATGGACCAAAATAAGAGTAAAAGAGATGTCATATCCCAAAATAGGAGTTAAAACTTAAACTTCTCTAATTAGGAGTAATTAGCTTAACAATGACTCTAATTTTTAAACCCCAAAAACTAAATCCCAATATAAACTTCTTATTGGTACACATTTCAATCTCAACAAATTAAAAGCCACCTCATGCATGAATTTTCAAATCTTTTGTTTCCAATTAGGACCTCCACTACCCCTCTTTTATGCAATTTCCTCTTTATTTAATTATTTTTTTAAAATGATAAATTTTCATACTCTTTTACACACCCATACACTCCAAGCCTCTAAGTCTGCAACTCTAGAAATTAGAAAAAATTTAGCAATGTCAAAAATGTAATTTAATTTATTTTAATACTTCATCATTTGCTTAGAACACTCTAGTGCCTCTTCAACTCTTCCATGGGAACATAATGAGTTAATGACCATGTGGACATTGCCCTTGCTTTAACAAGTAGTTCCATAAACTGCCGCCCAAATCAATCCTATGATTGTTAAAGAAAAACTTTACACACTGCGTGTTGTTGGCAAGAACTCTTGTTCGGTCATCTTGATTCACAATAAATTGTTATCGAATCATTAACAAAGCTGAATCGACAAAAAAATAACAAATTTGAATGTAAACAAAACTAATTCAATAACAAAACACACCTAAAATTAACTTCATCAACAAAAAATGAATCAATACCCTACATATAGAAACGTAGTAAATTACTACATTAAAATGTCCATACATTGTCGATCAAAAAAGACCACACTAAATGTCACGTGTAATCATATAATGACAATCATGTCAATGTATAAAGTCATACATGCAAATGCATAATGCGAAACAAATTACATAGATAATGTCAACCTTGACACTGTATAATGCCATTCCTGATAATGTACAATGAAAGATAAGTCAATGTATAATGTTATATATTACAGATGTTAATACATAATGTCAAAAAGGGGGTAAATGTCAAGTAACTCTACTATTTGCCATTAGTTTTGTTTAATGATTATTGAGAGTCCAACCTTACAGTATGATATATTACATTTTTTGACACAAACCGTCCCCCCTTGACATTGTTTAGTGTATAATTTTTTTTTACCTTTTGCACGGTGCCGATAGATGGAGCTACCCATCACCACCGGAGGATTTTTGTGTTTTTGTTTCTGCCATTTTCCTCCAAATTTATGGTAGCTAAATTGTGTTTAATTATTGTTATAATGTTTTTTGACACATATGTCAAGGAAAAATATTTATTATTGTTATTATTTTCTACAAGTTGATGGTGATACATCAATCTCCGAATCCCCTTTCTCTGTTGCTCTCGATGCTCTTCAAGATCAATTAAAGTATGGTTTCTTCCTAACTTGGTTTGTGCGGCCAGAATTAATCAGAACACATATTTAATTAATCACTCCCATTTAAGGGAGTTTAAGTTTGAGCTCCTACTTTGAGGATATGATCCAAGTTTACTCTTATTTAGGGGGTTTTCTTTATTCCTAATAGCCTAATGAATTAAAGTATGCAAACTAATTATATTTAAATAACAATTAGCACATATACTAGGCTTTATAATTATATATATATATATATATATATATATATATATATATATATATATATATACACACACTTTATTTACAAAGACATGGAGTCAATATTGCGTTTTCCCGCTCAAAGAGTATCGCCATTACATATGGTAATGTGAAGTTAAAATGGTAAGTGTCTGAAATTATAGTAATATAGAATTTACATTTTATAAGTATAATTATTATATCATATTTATGATAATTAACTGTCATTTTTAAAGTGTCCAAAATTTATACCAGCAAGAAAGGTAAGTTATAAAAAATATTTATAAAATAGGCAAAAATTATTTATAAAAAATATTTATAAACTTTAATACACGCCAATCAATGTTATTAAAAACCTGTGTATGATTATTCTTACCATAATTATATAATTATATGATTACTGTGTGACTAGGTTATATAAAAAAACGTGTGTATGATTATAATATAATATAATTATGGCAAGAATAATTATACACATAGTTTCGAAAAAAATTAATACGGTAAAACCCTTCAAATATATATATTTAGATTTATGTTTAATAGCAAGAAAGGTAATAACCAAAAATGTAATAATTATTACTCCTCACAATGATTACATATATAAATGGTAAGTGTCCGAAATTATAGTGTCCATTTTTAACCCGTGCACGAAGTATGGCCATTACATATGGCAATTGTGAAATTAAATGGTAAGTGTCCGAAATTATAGTAATATAAAATGGTAATTGTGAAGTTAATATAATTATTATTTTTATAATAATTAACTGTCATTTTTAACGTATTGATTGTACGTATGGCAATTGTGAAATTAAATGGTAAGTGCCCAAAATTATAGTAATATAAAATGGTAATTGTGAAGTTAATATAATTATTATTTTTATAACAATTAACTGTCATTTTTAACATATTGATTGTATAACCGTGTGACTAGGTAAGTTATAAATTTGGAACGCATAAATTTTTATTCCGTGTATGATCATACCGTGTGTATGATTATGGTATAATATAATAGTATAATATAATTATGGTAAGAATAGTTATATACAATGTTTCGGAAAAAAAAAATTTAAAAATTTAATTCTTCTTACTATAATTAGCCTATTAGAATTATATACTATAAATACGGTCCTTTTCCAGGCCCAAGGT